CACAAACATTCAGACCATAGCAGGACTTGTACTTGTATGTAGAGTACATGAAGCACTCTGATAGTTCAACAATAAAAAGAACCACATTGTTAGGGACCGAGTATGCATATGTTGAAATCCTAACCCACAACTGGAAGGTGCAGCCTTTGGGAGGTAATCATTTCATAGTGTTTAAATATACCAAGTGGGCTTCTCTGGTGGTTCAGAGGGTAAAGCGTCTGCCTGCAATGCGGGAGACCTGGGTTCGATTCCTGAGTCGGGAAGATCCCCTGGAGAAGGAAATGGCAACCCACTCCAGTATTCTTGCCTGGAGAATCCCATGGACAGAGAAGCCTGGTAGGCTACAGTCCATGGGGTGGCAAAGAGTTGGACATGACTGAGCGACTTCAGTTTCTCTTTTTCTTTCTAAATATAGCAAAACATTACATTGTACATTTTAAGTACATATAATTTTGTCAATCATACCTCAGTAAAGCTAGGGGAAAAAATGTGTAGTAAGTAGGCTATAAAACTCTCAGCATAAAAATATAGTCATGCTCAAAACACTGATCCCTAGAGGAAAAGTCACCAGATTAACAGTGATTGCATTTGGAAGTCGATTGTATACAAACTTCTTTCTGAAGAAAATGGTGACTATGAGTTGAATAAATGGTGAATATGGCATGTCTGAGGTACAGTGAAGAAATAACTGACAAAAGCAAAATTAAATATTTTTTAATTATGAAATAGTTTAAATATACAGAAAGATACAGAGAATAAAACCCCACAACCAGCTTTATTATTTTAGAAGAATTGGCCATGATTGCTTATTTTTTCAACAAATGATTTCTCATTTTTCTCCCTCTCCAGAGGTCATCACAACTTGATGATTATTTCCATGAATGTTACTACACTATTTTCATATGGTATTCAGCCATGAAAAAATACATAATTTTGATTTGCATGTTTTCAAACTTTATATAAATAAGTGGAACCACATCATACAAAATACCCCCTAGTTCAGTTTCAGTACTGTTTCTCAGATGTATCCATGTTGATAGAAGTATCTCTAGTTCCTTCATTTCAACTTCAAGTCTAACATTTAAACCCCAATGATTTTTTTTGATTGCCTAAAACTTTTCATTTCTACACTGAAATGGGTCTTCATGTACATCTTCCTGAACACGAGAGGCTCTGTAGAGGTTTTAGTTGAATTTCTGGGTCAAAGAGTATCCATATCTTCAACTTTACTAGACACTGACAAATTCTTTTTTTAAAAAAACTACAGTAAGTCCCCTACACAGGAATGAGTTCTGTTCCAAGAGAATGTTTGTAAGTCCAATTTTTCCAAGTCTGACTAAGTTAGCCTGGGTACCCAACTGACACAATTGGCTATATAGAACTCTACTGTAATAGCTTTCCCTGGAGATGGGAATGAATGGCAACCCACTCCAGTATTCTTGCCTCGAGAATTCTGTGGACTTTTCACACAAATAATACATAAAAAGCAAAAAATAAACACATTTTAAATCTTATAGTACAGTACCTTGAAAAGTACAGTAGTACAGTAAAACAGCTGGCATACAGGGGCTGGCATCAAGGGAACAGGCAAGAATTACTGACTGGAGGAGGGAAATAGGATATGATAGAGCTGAAGGATTGTCAGCAATAGAAGATATCAGCTACATCACTACCTGCTTTTATGCTTGCTTCTGGACATCCTGGACTTTTAAATAAAGATACTGTACTACTGGGCTCTATACTGTGAAGTACACAAAAGCACAGCTACTTACAGAGGGTGGATGCATGTCACAAGGTACGCCAGACATGTGAACTAACTTACGTGACTAGACATGTGAATGCACATACACATCTTTGAAAGCTTGCAACTTCGTTTGTATGTAGTGGACTTACTGTATTTTCAACTGCATTGTATCATGATTTCTATTGCTCCACATCTTTCCAGTAATTAGTACTGTGATGCTTTTGAAATAGTTCATTGTGATTTTGTTTCCCTCACTGCCATGATGTATATTGTCAATTCTTTTACTACTCCCAAATCCATTCTTTCTCTACTGGTATTTAAATCATCTTTATCATATGCAAATTTTCTACAAATAGATTAGATTCAATAATTTTATTGGTGTTTTTTAGAATTCACACTTCATAGATAATTTTAAAAGTCTTAAGATTTGGTGTGAAATTAAGGGCAAAAAGGCCTATTGAGGAATTTTGTTGGAATTGCAGTGAATTTGTTAACCAGAAATAATGGATCTTTATTGTCTTGAGTCTCTCCAGCCTAGGCTACATAATACTGTTTGATTTATTTTATTATTCTTCAGTTTTCTGGACCTAGAAAATCTATTGTTTTAACTCCTTGAGGATCTGGTCTTTGTATCGATCATGTTGTCTCCTCATGTCTAAATCAGTGTGTGGCAAAGAGCAGCTACTCAATATTCACTGAATGAATGAAACTGTATATATATATATATATATGTGTGTGTGTGTGTGTGGTTTGTAATTTTCTTCTCTCAATCCCCTTTTGATTTGTTTTATAATCACCTGATAAAAATTTATAAACGTTGTATCTTTTTCTGTAGTATGAAACAATTTAGATAAAATCACCTAGACTAACCCATACTATTACTTGGGACTGATGTCTTTTTATGCTGCAGTATGAATTTCTTGAGGTTTTGGAGTTAACTGCAATACTCTCTGTGCTTGATCTAAATAGAAGTTCTGTATTTTTCTAAGTGAACCTTCATTTTCTTTAATTAGTTTATTTAATTCTCTTTAGAAACCTCCTAAAACCAGCTGTGTTATATAGTTCTACTTCTATTACTTGCCTATAGTAAAAACACTCCTACTTATAAAGTTTTTAGGTTGTCCCAGTTGTGACCTGCTGCTTTTCATGGATGTTCTTCTTTGTCTACTAAGGAATCTTGTTTTAGCTGTAAGGATTAAATGAGTTAATATATGTTGAGTATGTAGAATAGTGCCTGGTGCATAGTAGGCACTTGATAATGTTAGCTATTATTATTTAATTGAAGATTTGCTATATTTGATGCACTAGGTGAAGTACTTTGCATGCAAATTTCTTAATATGCACCAATCTACAACAGACAATTTCATTTAATACTCATATTTCTACACTACAGTATCCTTTATTATCTGTATTTTAAGAATTAAAGAAAACCCTGAGTTGCAGATAAGTCAAGCAAATTACTCAAACTCACACAAAGCCAGAATAGTAGGAGAGCTATGATTTTCCAGAATCTAAGCTCTTAGTCCTGGTAAGTGCCTAGATCTGAGAGAGAAACAAATAAAGTAAGGCTGAAAGGTATATAGGAACTAGTTAATGAAGCTCCTCATAGACAGTTTTAAAGACTGTAGATGTTAAAGAACAACAGCAAGGCAGTGATGTATTATTAAACTTGAAAATGATCATTTTGCGTGCATGGTGGGAAATGAATTTAAGGGGACCAAAAGTTAATACAGGAAGATCTGTTAGAAAGCTATAGAGTGATCCTCATGATTGGTCAACAGAAACTAATAGAATTCTATAGCTGAAACTACCATTTAGTAGTCACTTTTGAAAATCTAGATGCCCATTAGAAGTATCTTGGAAATTTTTAAAAAACACAAATGCCCAGGTATTACTTTTTTCACCCAAACTCCAGATGTGATTCTAATGAGCAGCCATGTTTAAGAACAACTGGACTATATGATGATCTTTTATATCTAGTTTCACTTTTTCTATTTCATATTCAGTTCTCCTATTTCATTTACTTGGTTTTCCAATCTCTGTCTCATTTTTTGTTCTTTCTCAAGCCTTTATCAAGTGTAGTAGAAAAGCTTTTGTAAACATACATACATACATATATATATAATATGTATAATATATATTTTAGAAAATATGAATTTTTGCTTAGCTAAAAAATTTATGACATTTTGGCTCCACTTGTTTGACTAAGTATGAATAGAATGCTAGATTTCTAATTTATATTCACTCAAAACTTTGATATAGTCCCATTTATTCTGGCATCTAGTATTACTGCTAAAAGTCTAGAAAGCTTATTATTTTAGTGATTTTTTAAAAAGCTTTTTGAATGATGCTTGAAACTTCAATTCCAAGAATATAAAGAAATACTATGTTGTTAAGAAAACAACCAACCAAAAAGAAATTAACATGTGATACAGTAACTATAGATGTGGTTCAAATTTCACAAAATCTTATGCTAGAGCCCATTATTAGTCTTCATATCTTACTCAAGATTCCACATTGTATTTAGTTGCATTGAGTATGAAAGAAATTCTGATAAATTCTCTTTTCATTTTTATTCTGTTACAAATATTTTCTAATTTTCCTTATTATGGTTTCTTAGATACATCCATCATTTAAAAATGGCCATTTAATTTCCAAATACATGGGTTTTTTAAAGTATCCTTGATATTAATTTCTAATTTTGATATTAATTTCTCATTTACATGCTTTTTTTCTCTGCAATCACCCTCTGTGTTTTTCTAATCTTTTAACTTCATTGAGGCTTTTGCTGGCTAAGTCAAAGATCTCTCTTTGTAAATGTCACATTACACTTGAAAATGTGTAGGTTATTTTCTTTTCTTTTTTTGTGTAGGTTATTTTCAAATATCTTTTGATATTGATTCCTAACATAATTCCACAGTGGTAAGAGAACAGACTCTGTATGATTTCAAAACTTTTAGACCATGAAACTTTTGCACCTCATTTTACATCCCTGGATATGTTACAGAGTCTCTTGGTTTGTAGTCTATGGGAACTTCAATAGAACTTGTATCCTACTGTTGTGTGAAAATTATATGAATCTTAATTATGTTGAATTGGTTCATAGTGCTTTTCTATTCTACTATATCCTTCTACTTTTCTGCCTATTCACTCTATTAATTTTTGAGAGTTTGATATTGAAACTCCAACTAAAAATCTTAATTTATCTACTTAAAAAAATAATTGTAATATATAGTGGAACTATATAACTTTGTTTTGTATTTTCCAAGTCTCCTGTAAATGTGTTATCATACTTTCATAATTTAAAAAATTTAAAAAAAAGAGAGAGCTATAGAGTGATCCATGTGAGATGAGTCTTAAACTAGGATGGCAGTATTAGAGATGCAGAGAGTATAAATTCCAAAAGTATTTATGAAATAGTCTACAGGACTTGGTGATTGACTGGATTGGGTGGTGAGAGTGACTCCCCAAGATGGATTCTCTGATGATGAGCAAGGTGTGCATGCTGCCTGAAAGTTTTCTTGCATTCCTTACATTCATAGGGTCTCTCTCCAGTATGAATTCTCTGGTGTTGGGCAAGGGATCCACAGTAACTAAAAGCCTTTCCACAAACATTACATTCATAAGGCTTCTCTCCAGTATGAACTCTCTGATGTTGAGTAAGGGATGAATCATTGCTAAAAGCCTTCCCACATTTAATACATTCGTAGGGTTTCTCTCCAGTATGAACTCTCTGATGTTGAGCAAGGTAGGCAATCTGGCTGAATGCTTTCCTACATTGCTGACATTTATAAGGTTTTTCTCCAGTATGAATTCTCTGATGTTGAGCAAGGTGTGAATTCTGGCTGAAAGCCTTCCCACATTCCTTACATTCATAGGGTCTCTCTCCAGTATGTATTCTCTGATGTACAGTAAGGTATGCACGAAGGCTAAATGCTTTCCCGCAGACATTACATTCATAAGGTTTCTCACCAGTATGAACTCTCTGGTGTTGAGCAATAGATGATCTATTGCTAAATGCTTTCCCACATTCAATACATTCATAGGGTTTCTCTCCAGTATGGACTCTCTGATGTTGAGCAAGGTAAGCAAACTGGCTGAAGGCTTTCCTACACACCTTGCATTCATAAGGTTTTTCTCCAGTATGAACTCTCAGGTGTTGAACGAGGTGTGCATTCTGACTGAAGGCTTTCCTACATTCCTTACACTCATAAGGTTTTTCTCCAGTATGAATCCTCTGATGTTGAACAAGATTTGATCTCTGGCTGAATGCTTTCCCACATTCTACACATTTATAGGGTTTCTCTCCAGTATGAATTCTTTGATGAAGAGTAAGGGATGAGCTCTGGCTGAAAACTTTTTCACAGTCATTACATTTCAAAAGTTTCTTCTCTGTATAGATACTCTTGGGCTTAATGGCAACTAATTTTTTTTTAAAGCTTTTATGTGTGTTATGTTTATGTATTTTCTCCTCTTTGGGGATTATCTGATGTGTATGAAGTAGTGTGTTGGGATGGAAACTTCTCCAAGTTTTGTTATATTCTTGTACTCTTTCATCAACAGGGGCTTCTTCATGAGTGATTGTCTCTTCCTTGAAACATGCTTTCTGATTCATTGGTTGCCCTTCAAGATAGCCCTCACATTTCCATTCTTCTTTCAAACTGGAGTACTCAAGGCCATAGCTTGTAAGTTTTTCTATTACCTTCTGAGATGATTGTGGTTCATAAATGTCCTGCTTTGGGGTTAATTCTTCAGTCTCACACATAGATTCCCAACCTGAAAAATAATAATAATAAAAAATTCTCCTCTATTAAGTACAAGGAAGTACATTTATAAAAGTGCATCCTAAAGTGTGTGAATTTAACAGCAAATAAGACCCACAAGAACACTGGTTTTTGTAGTTCTGAAGAGTGCCAAAACAATAACTGAAAATAAGTCATGGAGTAACTGGAGGAGGACAGTGGAGAAGACTCTTGAGAGTCCCTTGGACTGCAAAGAGGTCAAACCAGTCAGTCCTAAAGGAAATCAACCCTGAATATTCATTGGAAAGACTGATACTGAAGCTCCAATACGTTGGCCATCTGATGTGAGAGCTGACTCACTGGAAAAGACCCTGATACTGGGAAAGGTTGAGGGCATGAGGAGAAGGGGGCAACAGAGGATGAGATGGTTGGATGGCATCACTGACTCAATGGACATGAGTTTGAGCAAACTCCAGGAGACAATGAAGGACAGGGAAGTCTGATGTGCTGTTGTCCATGGTGTCACAAAGAGTTGGACACGACTGGATGGCTGAACCACAACAACAAACTCGAGGAGGAATGATTAGAATTATAAGGAAATCAATACAGTAAATCATAGGTCAAGAAGGATTTGTGTAGGTGGTTGGACCTGGTTATAATTTTATGCATGTATGAATAATACAGGAACTGAAATAATCTCTACTCTTACAGTTACTTCTTTCAAGAACATTCATTGATCCTTGTGCCAGGTACAAGTTTTGAAAGAAATGAAGATCCTTACCTTCATGGATCTTACATTCTTACATTCTTGGGGAGACCAGAAATAAATGCTAAATAAAGTAAATTTTATTGTATGTTAGAAGGTACTAAGTGCTATGGAAAAAGAAAAGCAGGATAAGAGAGATCAGGAGTGATGGTGAAGTCAAAGGAGGGAATCATTAATAAGTTAACACTGAAGCAAATAATTGAAGGAAGTGAAAATGTTAGTCACTTAGATATTCAGAGAAAGAACATTCTGGACAGAAGAAACAGCCTAAAAGCAAAGGCATGTTTGGTTTTTCTGAAGAATAACAAGAAGGTCAATGTGGCTAGAGAGGGCTGAGATGAAGTCAGAGGTAAAGGATAATTAGATTATTTAAGCTTTATAGGCTTCCTAAGGAGCTTGGCTTTTACTCTGAGTGAGATGGAGAGCCACTGAAGTGGTATGAGTACAGAAGTGACATCTAGTTACAGTTTAATGAAATTATTCCAACATAAAGGTATTCAGGAAAAGAGGAGAAACCAAAAGATATTAAGAAGGGCAAATGTAAGCCAAAAAAAAATCAGAGGTGATAACATTAATACCACATGATATTAAAGGTTATAATAAAAATCAACTTGTTCAATGATTTATACTGAAAAAGAATAAAATACACTTTCACAGTAACATACACAGTTTGGAATATATTATTAAGAAATGACACAAAGGGAATTCTCTGGCTGTCTAGGGGTTAGGATTCCATGCTTTCACTGTGGAGGGTCAGGTTCAATCCCTGGTCAGGGAACTACAATCTTGGAAACCACACACAGCAGATAAGAAGAAGAAAGAAATGTCATGAAAATAATTAATAAAACAATGGCTAATAACAGTAACCATTAATAAGAATTATCTTTCTTTATATATGAAGTATACATTGGGACTCACAAAACACCACATAGATAAATAAAAGGCACATAATAGAATATAGAAGCTATATGGGAAAGTATTATACTATTTATACTTCTTTTTCAAATAAGAATATTATCTTGCAATTTTAGAATCAATTTTAAAAAGCAATAGAAGAAAGCATAAGGAAAAAACTTTACAATTCTAATAAGGGACCACCCCCTAAAAACTGAATAAATGGAGAAGATGCACACCTTGCTTTTTATATATGAGAAACCAACATGGTAAAGCTACAAAGTCTCATTAAATTTACTTATTATGTTCATTCAATTACAGTCAGAGCCTACTGTGATTTCTTAAAAGAACTGTGCAATAAAGAATGTGGCAGGCCTTTGTCCCTGTTTCCCAAGAGGTAACCTTTAAGTCATCTGAACTCCTGGAAGGAGGTCTTTGTTATTCATGGTGAGCCTGTTGGACCACACCTGATAGTTAACACTAATAAGGTGACTCACGATGACTCCTTAGGCAGTTCTTGCTAAGGAGATGACTCAGGCTGGAGGCAAACCATGTTGGAAAGACCAACCATGATCAGAGGGTTGGAGCTTTGAGCCACCATATCAGTCTGACTTTTGGGAAAGGAAGAAAGGCTTGGAGATTGAGTCACCTTGGGTAATGATTCACTCAGTCATGCCTATATACTGAAACAAAACAAAACTAACCTCCCCTTGCCGCCCCACCCCCCCAAAACACAAAAAACTCTGGATACTGAAGCTCAAGAGAGCTTCCCTGGCTGGTAATATTCTTTTGAAAACTGAGATGCCTGATGGGCCCTTATGACAACTGAAACCTTACATTTGCAACTCTCCCAGCCTTCCACCTTTGGTGCCTCTCCTTTTGGCTAATTCTGATATGCAGTCTTTGTTACAGTAAAAGTGTAATCATAATAATATGCTTGAGTTCTGTGAGTCATTCTAGTGAATTATCAAACCTGAGGGTGACTGTAGGCATTCTCAAATGTGCAGTCAGCTGGTCAGAAATGAGGGTGGCCCCAAGGATGCCCCAACTTGCAGCTGGTGTCTGAAATAAGCACAATCTTATGGAATGCCGTCCTTTCAGATTTTACAGTTTGGCAAACTCATTGCAAGAATTTTTTTCTTTTTTTGAGGAAATTCCCTGGTGGTCCAGAGGTTAGCACTTAACACTTTCACTATCATGGGCCTGGGTTCAATCCCTGGTCGGGGAACTAAGATGCTGTGAGCCAAACAGTATGGCCAAAACAAAAATATTGTGACTTTAAAAAAAAATTCTTTTTAATTCTAAAGTACACCAAAAAATGTACATAAATCTAGGATAGACTATTTGTTAGCCCATAAAACAATCTTAATAAATTTTCAAAGATTTAAATCATACTAAGTATCTTTTTTAATCATAATGGACTGAAACTATAAATCAATAGCAACATAAAAACTGGAAAATCCACAAATACATGGAAATTAAACAGCACACATTTATACAACCAGTGGGTCAAAGAAGAAATCACAGAGGAATTTAAAAATAGCTTACAACAAATGAAAATAAAAATGCAACATACCAAAATTTATGGGATGCATCAGAAATAGTTATAGCTGTGAAGTTTTACATCACAAAAGAAGAAAAATACCAAATAAATATTAACAAACTAGAAAAAGAGCAAACTAAACCAAATGTAGAAGAAAAAATAACAAAGATTCAAGCAGAGATAAACCAAACAGAAAATTTAAAAAGCAATAGAAAGAATCAATTAAACCAAGAGTTTGTTTTTCAGTAAGATCAACAAAACTGATGAACCTTTAGACTGACTAATTAAAAAGAGCAATTCAACTGAAGTCAGAAATTACTCCAGTCAGAGCAATTAGGCAAGAAAAGCAAATAAAAAGCACTGAAATTAGAAATGAGGAAATAAAATTATTTCCGTTTTTAGACAACATGATCTTACACACAGACATTCTTAAGACTCCACAAAAGAAAAACAGTTTTTACAACAAACTCAGCACAGAATCAGAATACAAAGTCAACACACACCAATCAGTTGCATTTCTATACATTAACAATGAACAATCTGAAAAGAAAATTAAGAAAACAACTCCATTTACCACAGCAACAGAAAGAATAAAATACTTCAGAATTAATCAAGGTGAAAGACTTATACAATGAAAACTATAAAACACTGGTGAAAGAAATTAAAAGATAACTGTAAATAAATGGAGACATCCTGTGTTCATGGATTAGAAGTTAACATTGTTAAGATGTCCACACTACCCAAAGCTATCTACAGATTCAATGCAATACCTATCAAAATCCCAGTGATTTCTCCAGAAATAGAAAAATCAATCCTAAAATTCATATGTAATCTTAATGGACTCTGAATAGTCAAAAGAATCTTGAAAAAGAGTTGGAGGTGTCACACTTCCTGATTTCAAAACATATTACAAAGCTACAGTACACAAAACACTGTGATATGACATAAAGATATATAATATGTACATATATATACACACACACCAATGGAATAGCAAATAGACAGCTCAGAAATAAATCCTTATATATATTGTCAAATGATTTTTGATGAGCGTGCCAAGACCTTTCCATGGGGAAAAGGACAGGCTTTTCAATAAATGATGCTAGAAAAATTAAATATCCACATGCAAAACAAAGAAGTTGTTCTACCACACATAAAAATTAACTCAAAATGGATAAAAGACTTAACCGAGAACTTAAAACTAAAATACTCTTAGAAGGAAACATAGGGAAAAATCTTCATGACATTATATTTAGCAATGATTTATTGGTTATGATACCAAAAGTATATGTAATAAAAGAAAAAAGTAGACAAATTGAACTTCATGAAAATTAAATAAAGGACACAATCAACAGAGTGAAAGGCAACCCAAAGAGATTATGGGAGAAAATATTTGCCAATTATGTATCTGAAAAGAGGTTAATATTCAGAATACATAAAGAACTGCTAAACTCAACAATAACACAATTAGATTATGAGACTGGACAAAAAAATGTTTAGCGATATACTGTTCACTAAAGAAACAGAGAGAGTAAAGGAGTGAAGAAAACTACACTAAAGAAATAGTAACAAAAGCAGGCCTTTATAAAGTTCTATCAAGCTAAATAGTAAAGGGAAGAATCATCACTAAAGAGTAATAATAATAAAAAATAAATAAATAAAGAGTAATAATAGAAGAATTCACCAAAAGATAATCTTTCTGGGATTACCAGAAAGATAATCCCCAAAACATATTATAAAACACTTTCATAATACTGCTCAAGGAGACTTCTTTAAAAAATCAGTAGACTCAGAATTGACCAGCACAATTAAATAAGCTTAATCCAATGAA